ATGCCAAAGAGCTTGATTTTGGTCTCATCTGACCACAACACTTTCACCCAGTCTTCCTCTGAATCAGTCAGATGTTCAGTGGCAAACTTCAAACGGGCCTGTAGATGTGCTTTCTTGAGCAGGGGGACCTTGCGGGCACAGCAGGGTTTCAGTCCTTCACGGCGTAGTGTGTTACCAACTGTTTTTTTGGTGACTATGGTCCCAGCTGCCTTGAGATCATTGACAAGTTCCTCCCAAGTAGTTCTGGGCTGATTCCTCACCGTTCTCATTATCATTGAAACTTCACGAGGTGAGATCTTGCATGGAGCTCCAGACCGAGGGAGAGTGGGAGTTAATTTATGTTTCTTCCATTTGCGAATAATCGCACCAACTGTTGTCACCTTCTACCCCAACTGCTTGGCGATGGTCTTGTAGCCCATTCCAGCCTTGTGTAGGTCCACAATCTTGTCCCTGACATCCTTGGAAAGCTCTTTGGTCTTGGCCATGGTGAAAAGTTTGGAATCTGGATTGATTGATTGCTTCTGTGGACAGGTCTCTTTTATACAGGTAACGAGCTGACACTGGGATGCCTCTCAGCTCGTTACCTGTATAAAAGAGACCTGGGAGCCAGAGATCTTGCTGACTGATAGGGGATCAAATACTTATTTCATTCATGAAAATGCAAATTAATGTATAACTTTTTTTGTAATGCATTTTTCTGGATTTTTTTTGTTATTGTTGTGTCTCTCACTGTTCACATAAACCTACCATTGAAATTGTAGACTGATCATTTCTTTGTTAGTAGGCAAACTTACAAAATCAGCTGGGGTTCAAATAATTTTTTTTCTGACTGTATATGCCCATTGATTTTAAGCTGCCAGAAAAAAGGGAGTCAGCTTTAAACACACAAATCTAAGCTATCTAAAATAAATTTCACACACTGAATTGATGCTTCCAAAAAGATATATTAAGGACAGCTGCGATGTTTTGACATCACGTCTTTATCTTGCCCATATATTGGGTACAATAGTGGGATGTGCACTCCAAAAGACACAGTTAAATTTCATTTGGTTCTTGAAATTTCTCAGCATCTCTAGAATCTCTCTTGTTGAAAAATGAAAAATGAGACAATGATATTCAACATTTTGTTTTTTAAGGAAACCTGACTGTTCTGTACTGTCGGACTTTATTACCTCCACCAGGGTGGAGGCTGTGTTTTTACTGGTAGTTATAGGTTTATCGTTTTGTTCACAGCATAATGAATGGGTTTTGATGAACATTCTTGGAGATGTATGGCTCCACAGAATAATCCATTACATTTTGATGCTGATCTAGAAAAAATCTTTGATCCAGGAAGGTTTTTTTAATGACTCTTCACCATTGTTAGGATAGGGCCTTTTTGTTTTTTGTTTCGTTTTTGCTTCTAACCCCATACAATATGCCTATAGTGCATGGTCAAAAATTGAATAATATCCACATAAGATCTACCACACATCAAATCTGATCTGGACCCAAGTAATATTCTGGGTCTGCTGATCCAGTATGTTCACATTTATAGGGCTCACAGAAAACTCACTACTGTGAGACAACAAATAATGCTACAGACTTGCAACTAAGATCAAACTGTTTTTCTTGATTAACTTTCAAACTAATAATGATATCAATGTGATTTCACATGCTAATGTACGAATAGGTTTTCATGATCAAGGAACCATAAGTCTGAACTATCATGGGAATATTGCTTTTAGGTGGAACGGCATTATGGGGAAACTCAGCACTCAGAATTTCAGGTTCCACTGTGATTTGAAGAATCACTAAGCAAGTGTTATGATCAAAAGTGTAACAGACTACAACAGAGTGCAGGCCAGGCTACAGTTACTGTCCCAAGATGTACAGTGTGTTCAGAGTCTCTGTATAGGAATATGTAGACGTCATCCATTCTAGTCTTCTATTAGCTGCTGCTGTGTAAGTGAGTGTACCTCAGCGTCCTGGATCTTGTTTCTGAGGGTCTGCTCAAGGAAGCTGAAGGCGTACTCCTGAGTGTTGGCCTCCACCATCATGTCCCTGGCCCGCTTCACTTCAATCTACACAGAACAAGGCAAGAGTCAACATGCAAACGTGTATAAATACAGTATCTTTGTATCAGTTTATCCATCCGCCTATACCTCCATTGTTCTGTAGCTCTCTCCCAAAGACTGGTGCTCTTTGTCCATTTCTATCATCTGCTCTCTCATCTTCTTCAGCTCGTTATTCAGCTGAGTATTGGTCCTCAGCAGGTCCTCGTTGTTCACCAGCAGGCTGCGCATCTCGAACCTTTACAGAGAGTCAGTTGTCACACTGCAATGTGTCAAACCTTCTAGGTATACTTGACAGAGTCAAGCCAAGGTGGAAGAGGAGTTCATGAGCAACATAAGACCAGCTGAGAACTCACTTCATTGCAGTGAAGTGTAGTGTACAGGAGGGTGGGGTCAGTACACTGTGACATCACTTGTGGGTAGATTTATAGGTATAAAAAGGCTTCACATTTCACTAGGAACAGGCCAATGTTAACTTACTCTTTAAATCGAGACTTAAGAGTATATCTGAAACCAACTTATTGCAAAAGTTTTGGCAGTAACTTTCAAAGTCTCATTTTATGATCCTCTTCTGGTTTAAGGTTTCAAATTTGTCTTGCATAGCCACACCCACTAATGATGTCAAAGTGTGCCGACCACACCCTGAGGTCAGCTAAAACAAGATTCTAGGTTGTGTAAAATATAATCAAGGGGGGAGGACAGAAAGAAAGAAAGAAAGAAAGCATAACATCATGTCTGACCTGATCTGGTTCCTCTCCTTCTCCATCTCCACACTCTCTGCCTCCAAAAACTGGTTACGCTGAAACACATATACCATGGAAAATATTTTCTTTTCTGAATAACAGCCGTTTAAAAAGTCAGAACTGAATAAAGAAGGGTGGCGAGCAAAGTAAGAAATAACGGAGAGAAAACAGACGGTTGTTGAAAATTTGGATCTGATGGGGACATCGCCAAGGTTCATGTACTAGTTCCAACATTACTTTGCCCAGACCTTCTGGACTGTCTTTCTGGCTTCCATCTGACATCTGTGGACCCTTAGTCCTAATAAACCATATTCTTACTACACAACTGCATGTGTGTGAATCCCAATATTAATCAGATGAGGTCTACCTTCCGGAGGTCATCCAGCTGTCTGGTCAGTTCCTCTATGTAGTCTTTTTTATTGGCTGCCCCCAGACTGGCAGAGCGCATGGAGTAGTGGGTGGGCACCACCTGTAGCAACATGAGGATGAAAGAATATTATATATTGTTGAAGAGATGGTAAAGTATGTGCTATCTAGATATGTACAAGTCAGTAAACGTACAGTGTTGGTGACCTCGTTCTTCCTCCTCAGCGAGTCATAGAATCGAGGGCGGGAGGTGACGGCAGGTGTAGTTAAGCCCACGGGACTGATGCTGCGATTGGTGAAACCGTACAAGTTCATCTCTGAGGCGGAAGGAGACATTCTGCCCGGAACCTGGAGATGAGGAGGGGGGTACAGAGGAGGTCAGTAACATGTAATTGTCCCTGGAAGCTCACATGTCAGTGTGAGTGGAAAAAGTGTACCGAAGCTTTTCAGATCCTCTTTAGCTTTTTCACTGATTCTTTAAGACTTGCTGGTACTGAACTTGTTTTAAATGTTACAAATGCTATTTTCCTATTTAGTATTACAAAACATGTGTTCTCCAGTGCAAATGTTTTATATATGCACTTCAAATTTTGCAGACTGTTTTAGAATAAATTATGTTTATGCAACACTATGAACATATTTAAAACTAAAACATTCTGTGCTTACAGTAAGAAAAAAACTCAAAGTAAAAGGCCAGGAAACTCGAGCAAAAATTCTGTATTCACAATCTTAAATAAAAATACTGTATTTTCAGAATCAGCTTTATTGGCAAGGTGCAACGGACACACGAGGAATTTGACTCTGGTACATTGGCTCTCAGTGTGCAAACAGAAAACCAGCATAAGGCTGTGTAATATAACAAAATAAGCAGTATTAACAGCAACATTGACAGCAACAAACAGTGCAAACAATGCAGAATAAGCAGTATAAACAGACAGTAAATGTACCAAAAAATATCACAGTCAAGGACCTCATTCTGCAGTAAAATTCCCAGTGATTAACATGTTATTATTACACCGTTCATAGTGACATATCAGTGTGTGTATATATAAAGAATATTTTAATGTTGTTGCTGTTTATGGGAGAGCTATTTGAACTACTTTGTACAGTTGGTACTCAACTCAACTCAACTTTATTTATATAGCGCTGACCAAAGTACTTAACATACAATACAAATCTAAAATCGTAACAACATAAAAATAAAAACAATAAAACATACATTTGGGTCCAATCAAGGTAAAAAGAGTCTCAGTCCTGTCTAAACGCCAATGAATACAAATAGGTCTTCAAATATGACTTAAAATTGGGAAACGAGGGGGCCTGCCTCATATAAAGAGGTAATGCATTCCACAAATTTGGACCCACCACCGCGAAAGCTCTATCCCCCCTAGTTTTCCGCCTGGCCCTCGGTGCCTCCAGAAAAAGCTGATCAGCTGATCTAAGGCACCGCGGTGGATTATACGTACGTAAAAGTTCCGTAAGATAAAAAGGAGCAAGCCCATTCAAGGATTTATAAACAAATAAAAGAATCTTAAAACGAATCCTAAAATGCACAGGAAGCCAGTGAACTCAACCTGCTGCCGCAACAAAAAGGGCTTTACCTTCACTAACTGCCTGAGATGGAAAAAAAAAACAGATTTTACGACCGCATTTATCTGACTTTCCATTGTCAAGTTGGAGTCTATTTTAACACCTAAGTCAGTGATCACCGGTCGCACATACTGCCCCAAGAACCCTAAGTCTACCGGGGGAATGTCATCAGACGTATTAGGGCCAAACACTATAATTTCGGTTTTTGCATCATTTAACTTTAAACGACTTAACGACATCCAGCCCTTAATATCAGCAAGACACGATAGAAGCGGCTGAATCGAATAGGTGTCCTTCTTACTCAATGGCATAAAAATCTGGACGTCGTCAGCATAACAATGAAGAGACACCCCATGTTTCCTAAAAATAGAACCCAGGGGAAGTAAATACAGTGAAAAAAGCAGAGGCCCCAAAATTGAGCCCTGTGGGACCCCAGATAACAAAGGGGTTGTCACAGATTCAGCATCTGCCAACCCGACAGACACCGATCTACCCGCTAAATATGACTTAAACCACGCTAGGGCAGCACCACGAATGCCCACCAAGTCGAGAATTGAAGCCGAGATATTAAAGTGTCATGGTCAACGATGTCAAAGGCGGCAGTCAAGTCCAACAGAACAAGAATCACGTATTCACCCGCATCAGTGGCCAAATAAATATCATTAACAACCTTCAATAAGGCTGACTCTGTACTATGCAGAGGTTTAAAACCAGATTGAAAACCCTCCAATAAGTTATTCTCGTCTAGGTAGGATTTCACCTGCGTATAGGCCACTTTTTCCAAAATCTTCGAAATAAAAGGCAACTATGAAATGGGCCTGACATTACTCAGTATGGATTGATCCAGACCTGGCTTCTTGAGCAGAGGCTGCAGAACTGCATGCTTGAAATTACCAGGGACAGTACCAGAGGACAAACTACTGTTAACAATATCCAAAA